TTAAAAAAGCTAATTTAATTTTTTAAGATATTGAGCAATGGAACTGTCCTCTGGATGAAGTCACATTTTGCGCAGCGATTTAGGTGCAGACATTAAGTGAAAAATTAACTAAAATTTCTCTTTGGCAGCATCTTTCTAACTATTTTTTGTTTCTGTCTGTAGGCCTGTAGATATGACTCATACCAGCTCGATGCACCTATTCAGGGGAATTTGCACTTGACTTGAAAATTAATTTGTTGCATACAATCCAATTTGTGTAGCAATCTATGTTAGCGCTACAGACATAGAATTTAAAAACTGAGCCTTTCTGCATTCGTATGTAACTTGCTGGACTTTTGGTCTTTGGACTGGGCGAGTACATAGTTCCTTCCCGTAGGTGCATCTCGTGGCTATGTTGTGTTGGTCTCTGCTTAAAGCAGAGGCAGATGTTTTCCATGCATGCTGCGTTTGTCTGGTCACATGACAGGGTTTATCATTGGTTTGTTGTTACTGTGACTATAGGAGTTTCATCGCCCCCACATTTAGTGTGAAAAGGATTACATTTGTTGATGAGCAGGTTTTGAGTAATGTTTTGAACTGGTTTAGTGGCCCGTTAATGAAAATGTACTGTCCCTTTGGTCCTGAGGATGACTCATGCTGAGCCAGTCATGTGACAAGGCAGGTTTCAGAAATGTGACTTCACACGAGGTGGGGCGATAGCAGCTGAAGCTTACTTTATAAACAGATGTGGCTAGTAAGTAACAGTATTAAGTTTTGGATACGCTTACTGTTATACATTTATCATTGTGGGCACGTATTATCATACAAATACTGCACTGATGACTTCTTGACCAGTGCCAATGAGTTGCTTCGGGAAGTTGAAATCTTACACCTCCAAATAGTTGGTCAGGATATTTAATTTGGCTTTAAGTTTGTATTTGTAAGCTTTTGTTGCTTGAAACCCCTTGAGTATTAATGATGTTGTTAAATGTTGCTTATCCGAAACTAGGTTGATTTGTGTTTTATTGGTTGCAATTAATACTTAAATTTATGGAATTAGACACATTTGATCCTTCGCCCCATCTACTCATTTCTCTCATCTGTATCAGAGAGCCCAACTCTGTGGTAACAATCTCCGCTTGGCTCTGCTCCTAACAGGGTGTCGTAGTCAGTCCTCAGCACAATTCCTTAAAGGAGACCAAGAGCCCTGGGCCTTTAGGGGAGGTCTAGCAGGAGAGTTCCAGGTATCTAATGCACCAAAGTCACAGCTATAAAAACAAAAGAGTGCCATCAGCAAAGTGGTAATGTTGGTCAAATCTGCAAGCAAAAAAGGGTTTGGTCTGTCAAAGGTGAGCTGATGTCTTAGGCATTCATTTGGGATTCACATTTGTATTGTAAAGTGTCTCTCCTGGGCATTGTTTTGTCTAAATGGAACATAAAGCACTGAATAAAGCACAAAAAAAGAAATCTGTGACAACAGCTGAATGTACCTTTTTATAGTTTCAGTTTCAGCAACTGACCAAGGAGATGCTGCTGTTCCAAGCGCAAGCGGCGCGAGCGAGCATGACTAGGTTTATCATGATGACACGCTGTTTCTTTGCAGGGAAGCATACAGATTACCAGCCCTACTCTTTGTAAGCGCACGCGGCAGCATCGCAGCGCTAGCGGTACGCAAGCGGTACGCAAGCATGTTTTCAATGGGAATACTGCAGGATCAAATCTTCCTGTGGCTCTTGCCTTGGACAGCAACCAGACTCGCATTGTCTGGAGAATTAATCTAATTTTCCTTTGTATTTGTTTTTGTTTTTCTTGGAGTTCTCCACTCTGCGCATGCTTCATTATTTTTCTCAACAGGGCTCTGCGCAGCAAAAAATGCGATGCCTCAAATAAGGAACAGAAGCATCTCCTTCAGTCAGTAAAATCTTAGTCAGACCAAAGTGCAACCCATTAGAGAATTTGCAAAGCAATTTTATGCGCTATGTGTAAATATGTCTAAAAAAACAAAAAACCTGTGGGATAGTGTTTGCTTGTTGTCCACTGTCAAATGAACAAGGCACTAGTGTTAATTTGTGTTGTTTTTTATATATACTATAAAGCAAGTAAAGGCATTTGGCTTTGTTCCTTTTCGTTTTATAGTGGCACAACTCCAGCAAATACACTGAGTCAACAAAAGATCTCACACAAAGAAACTAATTCTTTCTTTTTTGAAATCCACAGAGATTGTTGCCAATAGATGGGGCAAACGATCTCTTCTACCAGCCTCCACCTTCTCTCCCAACCTCCAAAATCTATTCCATAAGACCATACTATCCAAAAGATGAGGTAAGACTCGTTTTTCATTATAGTTTAACTTGTGTAATAAAAATACTATTTAATAAATTTCAAACTTAATAATTTCTCTTTAGGCTGCTGTTTATAAAATCTGTAAAGAAATGTATTTTGAGGGAATGGACGATCCTTTCTCTGATCAGGAGCCAGACCTCATAGGTGACAGGTAAATGTTACTCTGATATGCTCTAGATCCATGTTTTGTTTTTGACTTTTGGACAGTGTCAGAATAACTCTTGTTTTCTTACAGATTAGTGGGAGGTCTCCTTACCTTGAGTTCAGACTATGGATTTGTGCTAGAAGATGAGGAAGGCATTTGTGGCTATGCTGTTGGAACAGTAGATGTTAAGCCATTTGTCAAGAAGTGCAAGTTGAGTTGGCTTCCGTTCATGCAGGAGAAATACCACAAACCTGACATTGAGAAGGACCTTTCAGAAGCTCAGGTAGGCCTGTTTTTAAGAGAAGTGACCAGTGGCAAACGGCTAAAGGCTGGTTTGGAACTGTACAAAAACCTTTTTGTATGTATCATTTTGTAGAAGATGATGTTAAGTTTCCATGAAGAAGAAGAAGGTCTTCCAGATTCATTTTTATCTAACTTTCCTTCACTCATCAAAGTCGACATTCATGCTAAGGTCACTGATCCTAGTGTGGCTAAAAGTATGATGGGATGTTTATTGTCCTCTCTCAAAGCAAATGGTAGGTATTACACACTGCTGTGTTTCTCTTTTAATGCAGTCATGCTGTAACTAACATATATGACTAGTACACTTATCTAGCTTCTATAGTGGTGTTAATTGATGTTTTGTTTTTTTTAATTATCACTATTAGGGTCTCATGGAGCATTCTGCAAAGTCCGGCAGTCTGATAAAAGAATGTTGGACTTCTACAGTAAACTTGGATGTTTTGAAGTGGCAAAAATGGATGGTTTTCCCAAAGATGTCATCATTATGGGACGCAGCTTATAAGAAACCAGTATTAGGGTACCCCTGTTAAACAAAAACCCAAGCTGGCATATTACAATACAGCTACCCAACCTGGATTTGTGTCCTTAAGCACAGTGACCGCATTGCAGTGTGGGTGCCCCATTCTGTTGTGGCCCTTTCAATTCAACACAGGCCTTGTGAATTGAACAAACCAAGTATAGCACAGCATGCATGTATTTGCAGGGTACATTTTGTTTAAGGAAAGTAGCTTCTAGTATAATAAGTATAACTGGTTCCAATTCTAAAACTTAACAAATGCTAATGGTAAATAGAGATGGGAGTATAGATTTAAAATGGAAGACTGGTGCATAAAACACTTTAGAAAAAAAATAATCATTTTATCTTTCTATAATGAAGACATAAAAAGTTTGCTTTGTATATTTTGCCTTTTTATATTTGAGCAATAGTATTTTTGTTTTTGGTCAATGCCTTTGGGTTTTGCCTTAATGTTTTGTTTATTTAAGACAGACTGTAATTGGGTGATTTTGTGAACACATGAACGTATAATGTATAATGAACACATTATACATGAATTATTTATTGCTCAAAAACCTTACATTATCAGTTACAACCTTAAAATATATTGGAACAAGCTAAATACTGAGTGGGTTATTTAGTTAGTAAATTTTTAATATGTGGTGTTAGCCACTATCACTCCCTGTAGATATTGATGTGGCTTCCTGGTTTCAGTCTTAGTATCCCCTGTATATTTTTAGATGAATGTCTTCTCAAACTTTAAAAAACACTCTTAGAAACACCAAGGTCACTAAACCCTGTCAACTTCTGTCACCAAAGTAGCACTGATGCCCACATTGTTGCACTTAGGTTTTGGCCTTTTTGTTTGTTGAATGTTTTACAAACTCACTCAGTTGTTTAGTTATGTTGATGATTAGCAAGAAGCACTTTGACCACAGTGTTCTGTTATTTAGAAGATTTTCACTTGCTCTTAAGTAGCTGCCTGCCAATGTGATGTATTATGTACATTTAGGATGTGCATGAAGTGTAATGGATGTGTCATTACAATTACCTTATCTTCTGTTGCTTATTATAGAAATAAGAGAAATAAGCATGCCACTTGCCTCTATGTGCATAAAATGTACTATATTATACACTATTTGTAAATACTGTTAAAGTGTTATTATTTTTATACCTTTATTCACAAATGTGTGTTCTGTTAAGACAAACTCATCAGTTCACAGAATGAGGACTGAAACATTTTAACTTGATCCTTTTCACTGTTAAAATATATAGATTTTGCAGTTTGCAGTTCTGCTTTCTGGGTTTGATTATAGACGGAGAAGTTTACTTCAAGGGCTCAGTTATGTGTGACACAGCAAGGTGGGGCCATGGTCTGGGGGGGGGTTTATTACACTAAACCATTGTCAAATTTATGTAAGATAAATATGAGCGAAAACAATCTTCATGACTTCTTCGTGTTTTGTCTTCACTTTAAAAAAAAAATAAAAATCTGCACAATATTCAACGAACACATACTGCAGCTGACTTTCAACTTGAGAACAATGTTTTCAATCAGTTCAGTTCCCCAGTTGTTTGTATAATGCATCACACCCAGACCAGTGTGAAACGGCTAACCATAGACTATATACATCCAACCCTGTAAGCACTGCCCAGTGATTCAATGATTATAATTTATCCAAATGATGCCAAGCAGAAAGAATTATAATACATCCATATATCTACCCTAGATCATAGAAGTATTAAGATCTTATATAGAGCCATAAATCCACCCTCCTCCTCTATGGATGCTCTCCATAGATCCATGGTCTTGATCCACGTGCCTCCACTAAGATGAATGATCGCAGATTGATGACGTAACACAGACGTGTGTATTCATCGACGGAGTTATTATTGTTTTCCTCACGGGTTTAAGTTTAATTTCCATTAGCTTTATATTCCAAAATGTCTTTCGAAGATGCGGACTCCTCAGACCTCGGCCTGAGTGGACCGTCAACGATGGAGCGCTTCCTTTTCAGTAAGTCGTTTTATTAATGGACGGAGCTCATTTGGCAACCACGTGGGTTCCTCTGTTCTCTCGACCATTAAACTGACTTACATCCATGTTGTAATTGTTTTTTTTTTTATTGTAAATGTACATGTTGGTCAGTACTTTCTTATTTTGTGTCCCAGGCTGCGAGCTGTCCTCTAAAGTACCGTTTTTTACTTTCCAAGGAGATGAGGAGGATGACACGGAGCATTTCCTTGAATTTAGAACAGTATGTACATTGCACATGGACACATTATTTTAATATTAACGGTGGGACAGTTGTTCCTCAAATTGTTCTACTATGTTGTACGCATTTTATTTGAGTTTTATTCATGTCCAGACTTCTGTTAAAGGTGTGTTTGGGAGAAGGTGCAAAAGAGGAGAGCAACGTGGTGGAGGTGACAGCCATGAACCACCAAGGAAAGAACATCTCAGTACCTATCGCCAACCTTCACATTAACTGTCTCCCCATGGTAAAAACTTAAATTTAACAAACCGTGAAATGGAATGTATGTATGGATATGCACACTAATATGACATTTTTGCTTGACTTGTCCTAGGTGAGTTTGGGTGAATTTGAGCTCAAAGCACCAGTGACCATCCGTCTCAAGGCCGGGACTGGACCAGTAAATATTAGTGGACTGCACTTCATCTGTAAGTTTTACTTCCAACAGGAGGTCTCCTATACATAAGACATGGGGTAGAAAGCTGTTATAAAGGGGGGACAATTTAAGCATTTCCTACTAAAACTTTTTTATTACTTTTATAATTAATTGTTATGTTGATTTGATTCATGAAAAAACTGTACAGTAGTACAACAGTAACAGTAAACTTTTACATAACATTTTCAAAACGTTTTTTGTTCTAAATTATCAGTTAAGTTGCTGTTGTAGTTTTGTTTTGTTTTTTTATCTAAGGATCACATGCCACTACTGCATAACCTTTTAAATTTCAACTAGGATCTGAAACTTATTGTTTATAAATGTTACACTTTGTGTCATTTGGCAGCCTCACAGGCTGAGGAGTCAGACCTGTCTGGAGACGAAGATGATGATGATGATGAGTTAGAAGATGATGATGAAGATCTGAGCCCCATAAAACCAGCAAAAAAGAAACAGAAACTATAAACTTCACACTTATGCCAGCTGTTATTTCTCTTACTTCTCTCATGCAGCCATGTGAGTGGTCCGTGGGGCAACACAGCCTCTGTTCTTTATGTTGGTGTTAACCACCAATATTTCAGTGGAAGAGAAGTTTCTCTTTCAAAGACTGTTTTGCTAAGAAAATATTTTAAATAAGCGGTCATACTGACTGTTATGGACAAGATACAAAAGAAGAAGAAAACATTGACGGATCTTATAAAAGTCAAAAAGCATTTTTTGCCACTTCCACTTCCCTCTGTATTTGGGAGTAGGAAGTAAATAGTGTTTTTCTATTCACATCATAAATAAAAAAAGTCATTTGGTGTATGTTGTTGGTGTATGTTACATCTTTACATCATTTGTATACATCTGAAATCAAATTTGTTTAGGCTGATACATTAGAAATTCGCACACTGCATATTTGTTTGTGAAGTATTTGCTACTTATGTCTTTATTTGAGTTATCTTGGGGCTTAGAGGTGATACTTGAAACACAGAAATTAACAGTTCACACAGAAGATGAGTAATCATTGCCGAAGACTCAAATGTCACCCTGAATGAACCAGCTGCAGCTTCTCATGTACTGATTTGTAAACCTCAACTCAGTGCTATCTACTGATGGATTCTAAATTATTTCAGTTCCTATGCCTTTGCACATTTCTTGTTGTCTGTTTCCATGGAAACAAGCAGCCACCAGCTCAAGCTACAGGTCATATCTCTGGAGTGGAGACATATGTGCAATATGGAAGGGTATTTTTTGCAACAAAAATCCCCATAAAGACTATTGGAGAATAGATATATTAATTGCCATATTGTGGAACATTTTTGTTAAAGTATTAATATCTCCATGGAGACAATCACACGGTTAAGGTGCCACCACAAAAGCTACATTGTGCACCTATCACTATCTAGGATAAGATTTAAGACTACTTTGTTCACAGAAGATTATGTGTTTATAATAAATACACATCATTATGTGGTTTAGGTGACAGCAGTTGCAGTTTCCAAGTCGAAAATGTGCTGCTCTTTTGTTATGGTTGGAAAAAGTTTGACACCACTATAAATAAGTACTAAAAGTTAGCTTTCTGCATATTGAAGCATGTTTTTTCAGATGGTATGTGCTGTTTTCAAATGAAGCATGCTGCCATTTTACAATGCAGTTTGCTGCTGCTTCAGGCTTATAGTTCATCTGCTCTGCCAGAGCCAGTCTGAACATGTCTGACCTCCCTCTGACTGATGCAGGTGTGAACGTCAAGTGAATCAATGTAGATCTATTTTTCAATACTGTACTGTAGGGCTGGAAATATGGCACAAAAATTTTTTTTTATCAATACAATGCTGGTTTAATACATGAATACATAATAATTCATGTCACTTTCCATCGCATTCAGTTTATTACATCAAAATGGGGGAGGTGTTGTCAGAAAAGCATGAATGACAGATAAGAAGATGACTGCACTGTCCCAGGCCTCATTAAAACTCTTGTGCTTGTATTCAAAGCCTGCGAATGCTGCCCCAGGAGAGGCCTCTGTGGAGGTGGGCGTGACAAGGGGAGGAGGATTTTTCTATTATTTTGATGTAACCTGACAACTCGCTCCAATAAGACTGTAAAAAGGAATGAAAATGACTCGCCATAGACCAACACCTAGACTGTTTTCTCAAATTTCTACTATTCTACTGTTATTTTTATATATATTTTTGCTTTTAGTGCTGATAAACATGTTATGACATTCATTATTGTAATTTTGTCAATTTGTAATTTTGTTTGCCTTTTTAATTTTTTTTATTTTTTTACACAGAGGAAAATGTTGGTTTTAGATCAGCTCCCCACAACTGTAAATGTGCTTCAGAAGTGCTTATGCATTCCTAAAGATTTTTTCCTAAATGTAGTTAATATGATTAACTTAGATTCAGGAGCAGGACCACGCTTCAGCCGCCCCTCTCCTCTCACCAGCGAACCACAACTCACCTGGACCACGCCTTTAATTTCCCAGAAGCCTATGTGTAGCAGCCTTTCCCATCATCCCAGTTTGTCTCGGCTAACTCGACAACACCTTCCCATCCCCTATTTTGTCTTTCAGTCATAAGACCCCTACAAGGGGGGTCCCGTTCTGGCTGGGCCAATTGAAGATTGAGATGGAGCTCCCACATAGAGTCTTAACCCAGCCATCTCTGCCCCGCTTCGTACATTATCAATAAACTTCTTCGCATTATGTCGTTGTTGGTGTGGTCCTAGCTAGTTAATAATCTTCTAAAATATGTTTGGTAATCTGTCGCCACACACATCCTCCATCCCAACTGGGAAATGCTGAAGCATGAGCAAACCTCAGCCTTACTTTACAGCAGACACGGCACTGACCCATGAAACAAAAAATACATAACAAACCATTTTATTTGTTTCCATAGTGCTTTGTAGAAGACTGTCCATAGAGTCCATAAAAGTCTGTTTGTCTGTTGGCCTGTGGTGTGTTCATCAAACTCTGCATTGTAAAATGATGCAGAGGCTGACTCACAGGGATGGAGGAGTGATGACTGAAGTCCTGAGAGGACAGAGAGGAGAATTGTTCTGGGGGGGTGTAAGTGGGACCAGTGCTTGCAGGCGCAGCTCCAGAGCAGCAGCAGTTATTCAGAGCACACACGAGCACCTTTCTTCCCTCAAACATCGTGGTTGGTTGGGAGGCACTTCCGCTGGGAAAATGTGAAGGAGGAAAAACAGTCCCTGAGTGGTGAGTGGAGCTGGTGCCTAGGGCCACCCGGCGGTGAGAGGAAGTAACCAGCAGCTGCCTCTGACTGGGGCCAGTGTGGGGGTTCTGAGACAGGCTGTCACCAGAATACATTGCATTGTGAGTCTGGTCAGAAAGAAAAGGTTTTTTACTGTTGTAAAGTAAAGATGAAGGATCTCGTGAAGAAGCAAGTTCAGTGTTTTTGTCTAAAAAGGCCATGCTGTATTTCCTTTTGTGCAACCCAGAAGAGCCTGTCTGCATGTTGACTGAACTGCAGTGAGGCTGAACAAGTTCAAGGACAGACCCTTCACTGACTCGCACTAAGAAATAGAAGAAGCATTGGTGTATTAGGTGTAAAAACAGAACTGGAAAAAAAAAGTAACTCTGTAGTTCTCTCCTACCGTCGAGTATTTTTCGCAGATTTTTCTCTCTTGATAACAGTTCAGACAGAAACTGATGACAGCTGAGCTGGCCCACTCTGAGAGGAGGAATAGCACAACTGAGGTGTGAGTGGGACCTGAGAAAAAAACATCATGTCAAATATCAGCTGTATCAAATTGTTTCAACGGGACAGGTTATGAAGCATTTAACTCACCTGTTCATTATAAGTTGGTATGGTTTTGTGTTCTGAAACAATATAATAGCTATTCAGAATGTACATTAGAATCTAGATATGAAAGTACGGCTAAATGTACCTTCATGAAGTTGATGCTGTGTGATCTCTGTATGACTGTTTGTAGCGAGCACAGGAGTTTTGCTGCTTTATGGCGCATCTCATTGAGCTGCACAACCTGCTGAGAGTTGTTCCTGACATAAGAGCGGTAAGTGCTCTCCAGCATTTGCATCGTCTCAGTCTGGGTCAGCTCCATCAGGACTTGCATTCGCTGGTACTGAGCCCGTACACGCTCTTTTAACTGACAAACTGCTTCCTGAGGTGAAAATACAAGAGTATTTTATAATAAGGTCATTAATGCATCTAAACCTTCTAATTGCCCTCTCAGTAGGTAAAATATTTCTGCAGCCAAAACTGTGCTGGTGCAACAGTAACAGTTTGAACTAGAGAAAGTGCATTTTGAACTGGCAATCTTCTTTAGACACTGTTACAGTTGCATCAAGTCTAAATTTAGGCAGTAAATAGACGAAGCAAAGTGACACTGTGCCTTGATCCGAGTCTTGTCTGAGTCCAGTTTGGAGAGCTGCTCATCGATGTTCTGAACACGATCCTCCAGTTGGTCTTCTTGTTTCATCAGCATGGCCTGAGGAGACAAAAAGACACATCAAATAAGACAAAAATCTACTAACATTCACAACAGCTGTTAGATGAGAGATGATCAAAGCTTGCTGGATACTACACTTACCATAAAGAACAAGTAAATATTACTCATTTGCTCTCAAATTAATAACACTAAGCAAACACATTTAAGTACAGGAATAGCCATTAGTGAAATGCCCTTAGTATGAGGGTACCTGCTGTCATGGAAACAAAGCTAAGTATTTACATGAAAAAGCTTTTATATGGAGCACTGGAGGGGAAGTCCTTTGTGCTTTCTCATTTTGCCACATGCATCACTGCCCTTGTTTGCGTTGGTCTCTGTGTCAGTGACAGATTGTCACGTCTGTGTGCATAACGCAGCAGCCTAGTCTGGAGTGTGTAGAGAGAGGGAGGGCCTTTTCTTACGCATACCCATAATAGGCAGCAAAGTTGAGCATTATTTACAAAAATGAGAATAAAAATAGACATGTGGTCTTTGGTATAAGAGTTTTAATGTAACTGTGCATCAGTATCTATGCAACTTCAGTATAAAGCCTGCTGCACTGCACTTCACTTACACAAATGTCCACATGTGTGGCTTTACGCTTAGTAAGGTCACACCTTTAGCACCTGAAAGAGTGGCAGCAGGGTCACAGTAAATTCTAAGTCTAAGTGTAAACCTTAACTGAATGTTCACAGCTACACACTGAACTATGTAAATCTATTCCAACCAATTTTCTTTTTTTTTCAGGGTTGATTTATAAGCTACAGTTGAATGTCATGCTGGGATTTGCAATCATTTTGTGAAAGTACTTGTTTATTCTGACAATAGGCAAACATGTCTATATTACATCTTACTATAAAACTGTGTCAAAAATGTGTTGTAAATGGTGCATAATGTGCATAATATATATATTTTTTCCATTCCCACACAATAGCCACTGGGTCGTCCTCATTTGCAGTCTCTCCATGGTTCAAGTTTTATTTTTACATTTGCCTGAAATAGTATTAGAATAGAGCCAACTGTCGGGTAGCTCTGTAGATGCAGTGTGAAAGTCTACCTTAATCGAGATTAAATACACCAATGGTCACTTTCCCACTGTTCTATTTAGGCACACACCACAGGCTGCCAGGAAGCTCATGTTTAAATGAAGAGCTCAATGAACAGAGAGCCTCTTTCACAATCAACTGACAACTATTCCCCATGTTGGATGTCAGTGGTTGGCTCTGGGCAGCCTAAGTAACTCATTGAAGATATTTAGACTTAGGCTTAGACAAACTTTATTGATCCACCAGGGAAATTATTTGGACATGAAGCTAATGGCGAACAGCCAATAGTTTTCTGCTGAGGTATGAGCAAAGCTTTTATTGAGGGACCATTCCTTTGTCTATTTTCCATAATAATAATATCTTTATTAATATATTATTAAAAAAAACTATTTAAAAAGGTACATTTTCAGTATTAAGGCTTGTTCAAATGAGTATGGGTTAGTGCTGTCATGTGATTAAAAAAATTGAGAGATTAATTAATTATGATCTGTAATTAATTAATCTAATTAATCTCATTTTAATGTCACCTAAAAATGGCTGAGAAAAGCTTCAATTTGAGGTATTTTTCATTTAAATTCATTATTACATTATTGTGGCAGATCAAAAGACTGATATAGAACAAAAAAAGTGACTTTATAAAGTCATTTATTGTTTAACAAATCTCTCCAAATTGGCTGTTGAGCCTAAGTCTCCATGAATAAGAAACTGTTTGCTGTAAAGTAGCAAAGACGAGAAAATCTGAACATAATAACTTTTGTCTACTTAAAGACAATAAAAAGTCCAGTCTTTCCTTAACCATATTAAAAATATTATTGATAGAGAAATGCTTTATATATGAGATCACTGGTTTTAGTCCTTGTTTTAGTCCTGGTTTAGACCTGCTTTGTCCTAGTTTAGTCCTGGAATGGATTAATCCTGTTTTAGTCCTGGTGTTAGTTCTGGTTTAGTCCTGGTTTAGACCTGGTTTAGACCTGGTTTTAGTTCTGGTTTAGTCCTGGTTTAGTCCTGGACTGGTTTAGTCCTGGTTTAGTCTTGGTTTAGTCCTGGACTGGATTAGTCCTGGTTTTAGTCTTGGTGTTAGTTCTGGTTTAGAGGCGCACAGGAGGAAGCGCGGTTTACGCCAGCGTACGCGAGAAAACACGATCCACACGCGGCTCACGGGAGCACGTCGGTGTCCGCGCAGTAACTACGGAAGGAAACGTGGTCCGCGCGTTCTCAGGTTAATGACGATGATGAAGGTGTGTGTTTGTGTTTGTTTGTGTGTGTTTGTGTGCGTGTCCCCTCATGTGGCAGGTCACTATAGGACAGTAGTGCAGACATCATGAGTCTATGCAGGTTGTTTTCACCAGTGACATTTAAGTTGTAGGCGATTTTATATTTGTTATTTTCTTTTATATTTCACGTCGGGAGAAGAATTTCCAAGACACGAATGTGTTTTTACCTGTGCACTGCTGCCTCTGTTCTACTGGCTCTTCGACCTCGTCCATTGTGCGACTGACGTTTACATCGCTCTTACTGCGCGCGTTCTGTGTGGGTTACGAGTGGAATTACCGAAATAAAAAAAATTATAAATGTGTTTTTTGTGTGTGTGTTGTTGTCCCAACAACACATAAAAACAGGTTTTATAATAAAGCAACTCACATACAGAAACAGTAAAGTTAGAGATTAAAAATGAGATTAACGCGATTAAAAAACATAACGCGCTAAATATGACTGTAATGAATTAATCGCAATTAACGCGATAATTTGACACCCCTAGTATGGGTATTGATATTTTTAACAGCTCTACTGGTACTACAAACTACAGGCAAACCCCCACCCCTGAGTAAGGCTGTTGAAATTGCAAATCTGCAGTTGTCAAAGGCAAGAAAGATGGGTGGGTGCAGTTTGTGTGGACAGTGCAGCTGTGGAAAAGGCTGAACAGACATCTTTTGTCCTAGGAATAACTCCAAGTCTAAGCAACAGTTCACATGTTCACAATTCACAACATGTTCACAGTGTATTACTTGAACTGTATTTTGGATATGGGGAAGCTTAAGGTCATGACATTATGTCAAAAAAAAAATGTCTACAGTTATAAACAAAATTGAACATGCAACAATTCATGGGTTAGGTTATATTGCACTCTCATCATGAAAATAACTTCCCCAGCACTGACGAACATGACCAGATTGCATGTGGAAACTCCCCCACTCACTGAGATTATTTCCAGTGAATTCAGATTGCATCATATGGTTTACCCATAGACAGGGTGGATGTATTAAGGTTACAAAAAGGTTACCAAAAAGACAAATGAAAGTGTATAATATTATGTGCATTTTGGGGAAACAAAAGTGTGATGTGAAGATAGAGCTAGAGAATTAGTTCGTTTGGCTTCAGTGCACCCCAGTGAGGATTGAGTGTAACTTAGATACCTGCATTTGTATTCGCTGAGTCTCCACGTCACAGACTGTGTGCCTTTGGTTGGTGCAGTGGGACATGCAGCAGAAGGCGCACAGAGCCACCTGCTCCTCCTCACAGTGCAGCACCCTGTACTCCTCATGACTGGGGCAGGTCCAGGCACTCAGCTCTTCTGCGTCCACTAACAGGTGTCCTGGGGCGGCGCAGGGCTGCTGCAGGTGTGTGTGGATGTGGCTTTGGCAGCAGGGCTCTTTGCAGCGTAGACACACTTTGAGCACTGGTAGTGATGGCCCTCGTCTGCAGAGGACACAGTGCAGCATCGCAGGGGCTTTCTCAGCATTCAGAGCGTTAAAACGCTTCACGATGTTGGCCAGCTTAAAGTTCTTCTCCAGAGTGGGTTTGGGATCATAGTCGTGGTTGCATTCAGGGCAGCGCACAGCAGTGCCATCTTTGGCCCATGCCTCACATATGCAATTTTTGCAGAAGTTGTGTTTGCATGGCAACTGGACAGGCTCTTCAAAAACATTCAGGCAAATGGGACACAAGAGCTCCTCTTCAAAGCAGTTTTTCCAACTTGCAATCATGACTTCAGCTGGATGCCAGACTAAATTAAATAACAAACACGATGTCAAAAACGTACCTTTTTATTTTTTATTTTTGTTCCAGTATCCCACCATAATATAATGCATAATATAAAATTAAGCAACATCCATTTCAGTGAATTAGTTTGTAACGACTGGATATATTGGCGTGCCATACATACACTATATTCTTCAAAAAACATTTAACCACCATGCAAAAGTTAGGACAAGGATTACCTACAGTTAGTGCATGTCGCCAGTGGAGTCCCGTGTAGTGCGCAGCGCCGCTTTCACTCCAGACCGAGCGCAGTAAAGCCCGGTCCCGGGTTCAGTTCTCTGTACACGGGCTGCCACTCCGCTTCTCTCGCGCTCACTGCTGTGCGAAGTGCCTTCAGGAATCAGACTGGTTTTCGGAGAGGTTGGGGGAATCCAGATTGACTGCCCCTCCAACAACGTGACCCATCGGAGAGCGGAGAGAGAGCGGAGGGGAGGAGCTGGATCTGTCCCACAGAGCGACAAAAACAGCCTACACTGGGCCAAAGACACTGAAAACAAACGAGCGCCAGACAGATTTCACGTAATTAATTATTTATGACATCATACAAATTTTCTCCAGCTTTATTTTAGTCAATTTGGTATGACAAAAAAATAATAATAATAAAAATAAAATTTAATATGACTAATAAATACGGAAAAAGATGTCATCAGGATATGTTAAGATGTTTGAAAAAAATAAAATAAATAAAAATAAAAACTCCGTGTGTTAAGTAAGTAACTTTATTCTCTCTTATTGCATGGAATGGTTAGTGTTGTTCAGAGAGGTTTGAGTAAAATTACTTGCAATTAAAAGGCACTACGGAACGTATAGACTACAGGTCTGAATAATGGCAACAATGATACACAGTCATACATCTCTTGCAATAAATTTCATACAAAACAAAGAAAGAAAAAAAATAAGTGTTTTTTGAGGTTTGTAGCAGTCTGTTTGAGAGGCAACCGCAAGAGAACTTTGGTATAACATGAACATCCAGCATTGCTCTATATTTTACACATCACAAATAATATATAATATACAGTATAATTGTTGGCTGTACTCTGCCACTACAATAAATAAGCATCTTTATTGCTTGGATCCAAAGTCTGTTGATCACAAGATACATCATAATGTTGATAGAGAAATGAACCTTTGACCTCAGAAGACCTTTAGACATCTTACTGCTAATACTGACATTTTCAGATCACTAGTGTGTAGGCTTGTCACGGTAATTACTATATCAACTTATCATTCAATATATAAAAATTGGAACACTATTTTTGGGGTCGTCAGTATTTATCGTGGGTACAGTTTCTTTCTTTCTGGTTATTTTTTGGCCATAAGGCGAAATGAATAACTACTATGACTCATTGCAGATGCAAAGTAAGTATTGTGTTTCATTCTGTTGTTTATTGCAGCTCATGTTTTTTTTTTTTTTTTTTTAACAATAATGCACATTTAGAATATTTTTGTGGTTCTGCTCTTGAGTTACTGTGTCACTGGCATAAATTAGTTTCAATATCATCGTCAATATTTACTTCATCAGTACTTATGTATTACCATGACAGGCCTACTAGGGTGAAAGTTAGAGTTTTAAAAGCAACAAACTACAGAGAAATGCTGTTGGCAGTAATATAAATCCTCAGAGGATGTGTCAGTCTTGTGGTAGAAGAACCCTTTTCCTGTTCATTCAGTCCGTTCAGGGAAGTGTAGTCAACTGTCTCACTGCAGTGGATTATCAAACACAGAATCCGGAAGAACTGAAATTTTCAACTTCTTTTCTGGCCAACTATACTCCTTAGGTAGCTTTGACTGTAAAAAGGAAAAACAATGTTGTGTTTTAACATGTTTTTTGTAAATTCTGTACATTTGAATATGAATAGCTAATGTTATTCAGGTATGACATTCACTTACCTCCTCATGAGTGTTTAGGTCTCGAATTTCATTAAGCATCTGCTCCACAAATTCTTCAGTTAACAGTATCTAAACAGAAAAGAATCCCTTATAACTCACTATTATGTAATAGATAACCTTATATAATGTCAAACCTCTATTTTCATCTGACTCCTGACTCTTGTATACTGCCTAGATATATTTTACCTTACATGTATATATTCAAATGAGTATACTTCTACCCTCTTTGACAAATATATGCTATCTTTGCTATGTATCTTATTTCTTATTGTATTATTTTTATTTTTTTATTCTTTGTAATTGTATTGTAATATATAAACTACTGTGTCCAATTAATTTCCCTTGTGGATCATTAAATTCATCAAAGAAGAGATTTGATATTGTATTTAATGTATTTTGTGTTTCTCTGAGTAGGCACCTGGAGCCATGGGCCATGAGCTGCATAGGGATGCTCTTCAGTTGCGAATGCTCCTTCCACTCCTGTTGACACAAATGTTATGGCTGTGTCTCCATTGATGCTTTTAAAGGTAAAGTGTCTCCCATGTAGCAGTCTCCCTCTGTCAAGTATATAAAACATAATAAGACACTCAGGAGTGGTTATAAAGTTGGCAGTGTATGTTTTTAAGTTGATACACTATTGTCAGCCACTCATATGTGTTGTGTAAATCATCTGCAGTCATTAACTGAGTAAAAATAAATGAAAATATTGACAAGAACTCATACCGCAAACAGAGAGGAAGCAGCGTGCCTGACTCCTGGTTGAATTTTAGATGGACACTCTCTAACTGTCGTGTTCGAACAAGCTCATGTGGAACAATGGCTGATGAGCTCTCACTCTCCAAGCTGTCCTTTCTACTTCTGTAAAAAAGGGACAATTTTACCAAAAGCAGTATAGCAAAGCAGCATATGTTATATGGTCTAAACATGGGCCAAATCAAGTCTAAACTAAACATTTACCAAAGTAGTCCTAAACTCAGACTAACCCAGGAATGGAAGAGGGCAAAATATAAATAAGACTGAAAAGTGAGTACTGTGCGTATGCTCTTGAGGAAATACTCACAACTTCTTTGTACTTGCTCAGAGCATAATTAAACACATCAAAGCTGAAGTTTTTAAGTGAACATAACAGAGCAAAAAAAGAAACACAACACACTTACTGAGGTCGGTCGTGGTTCTGTCTCTGCCCGCTGATAGGGGGTAATGCTGGCTTTGTGTTGAACTCTAGACCCTTTCTCAGAGTCTCCCTTATTTGTTCTGTGTCTGCAAATAATTGTTTTTTCATCAAACAATGATCAAAACAGTATGAAGTGATCAAGTGGATGCTGTAATACCTTTATCTGAGAGTCTCCGTGGCTGAGATGCAATACAAATAGAACGGCTGTCCTCCTCGTCCTCTGGTGGTCGGCTCAAATCATCCCACACACACTTAGCACTGACCCCACTCAGGTTAGAGCCTTCTGCCTCTATGCCCTGGTCCACTCTCTCCTGCTTAGGAGAGCAACAAAGAAACGCAATCATCAACACAAGCAAGAGTTACATACAGACCTACAGCTATACAATGTATGTTCAGGTTCTACAAAAACTTAATTAAGCCTTACTTGTAGGTGTGGGTCAATGTCAAAAATAGTCTCCCCTCGTCTCATGTCAGTAATGAGCCATGGACCTCCAGCTCTGTTCACAAATAAAATATACAAGAATACATTATACTCTAAACTAAACCACACATCATTATGCCTAGGGATCGCACAAATACTTAAACCACACTGTTTAATATAGTTAGGCCAGAGATGACTCACACTCGCACTCCACGCATCAGTTCCAATATGCCCTGTCCATTCCACTGCTGTGCTGCCTGGAGCTCTTCTGTACACACACCTACAATCTGCACAAGACAATATTTATGTTTGAGTGTCCAATGTAAACTACCAAGTTAGAAATATAGACACAAACATGATATGATCTAAATATTAACAACAGACTACTCACTTGTAAAAAGCTCACTGTACCAAATGGTGTGTGGACTGGCTGCATCTGTGGATCTTCTGTGAGCAGCATGTGTTGTATGCGGGATTCACTGTTGTCTAGAGGGCTGTGCCACGACACATGATCACCACTGCAAAAAGTATTTTCTAAAAAACAAAAGAATATATTACTATGTAAGTTGTAGTTAGTTAAGACTAATTTATTATTCCATAGGTTACTTCAATAAAACAATAATACACAAATAAAAATCACAGAGGGAATCCAAATGCCTGGAAGGTAGCATTCATCCCATCCAGAATGAACTGAATGCAAGCAAATGGAAAGTAAACCACCGAGCATTCATATTGCCCTCGGGCTCAGCCCACCCACGTGCAAATTGACCCCAGCTGGAGAGTAGAGGAGGGATATGTGGAAGGAGGGCTAGAGTCAGAGATATTTTTTTATGATGTTTTAAACCTAATCTCTTTCAGATATTCAATAGCTATACATTTTTCTTTGTTAAATTGCTTTGGTGTCCCAATAGCAATTTTTGGACACAAATATGCATTTGTAATAAATATTTATATTTTGATTCTTACCTGACTGGAACACATAGCGGGCCAAGCCTTGCATGAGTTCAGCTGGCCATGTTGGTGGTGCCGTCTCTCCGACTTCTCTTTTGAGTCTAAATGTGAGCTCAAAGCCAAAACCGCTGGGTCCGCCAGCCCCTGCGAATCTGACACAGACAAAAACATCAACAGCTGCATTTTCATCCTCATATGAAGTCGTAAAGTCCAAAGGGAGTGTCAAAACCAACAGCTGAATTACAATGATAAAAGCTCATTAGGCTGCTGTCACTAGGTGGTCCACTGTTAGAAGCTTTTAACATAGCAAATAATTAGCATAATCTTTAGGGTACTGGGGGATTAAAGGGGCAGCTCACAATGTGAATAAATAAATTAAAAATAAAGATCTTACTCATGTACTCTGTTGTCGCCATAAAGATCACTCAGTCCAAAGCTGACATAGTGCCAGTGCTCCTGGATGTCTTGAGATGGGCACCCCACATTCCTATACATACTAATGTAATCTAGGGGGTCTGGTCCTCCTAACCTGTGAAACATGTTACATTAGCCCCATAAATTTCTTAGATTTTCTCAGATAATATTTAATGTGCAATGGCACTTTCATTTTCAAAAGTTAAAGTTACATATTAGGAATACATTACATCAACATAACAGTTCAATTTCATGCACGTGCATTTGAAACATAAGATATTTGTACTGCCCAGCCCTAATCTAGTTAGTCCTAAATCTATTTTACAACAGATGGTAAACATGCAACAACTTTTTTTAAGTTAAAGCCATGGCAGTTCAATTGTAACTACCCTGTAATAGCATTAGAGCTAGCCGTTAGCCAAAACACCAGTTTACAAAACTTTACTTTGTTGAACCATAGGCTGTATACATAAAGTTATACTAAATAGGTTTAATATTTTAGGACACGCACCAATATTTTACGATTGCTGTGACTTGTAGCGGGTTCGCCTGGTCCGGGTAAAGCCGCCGACATTCTCCGTATATCGCCTGTAGTCCAGGGGGAAACAGAGGCACCATTCCCTGGGCCTGGGATCCACTGGTAGGCCGTGCTTCATCCATCGCACGGCCCTAGCAAATATAACTTTGTCTATAAAACGCCCGAGCAAAAGTGTTTCACTAGAAGAAGTGGTTTACTAAAATACGCCCAAAGCTTAGAACAATAACAATTCAGCCTTGAAACTTCGCTAGAGTACACCTTAAAACGAAAATCTCGTCCACTCCAGTGAGGAGTATTGTAGATCCATGGTGAGGAGCCACAGCCTGTTGCTCACCCGCTGTGAAAACACACACTGAATCCCCATTGGTTACAAAAACAAACTATGTCAGTGACAGACAACCCATTTGACCAATCAGATTCACCGTGGATTTTTGTTTAGATTTTTAAGGTGTAATCATTTGGCAGATTGATTGTCAATCACATTTTGGTGTAACATGATGTAGTTTGGGCCATAACATAGTTTGCCTCACTGTTCTGCATGATTTTGATTAGATTAAATGCAAAAAGCTTGTGGCTTTTTGAATGGAGATGTTGTTGATTTCACTGGAATGTTCCACAGTCAGGCATTAAATTTGTTTATGTCCATGGTGACGTCACTAGGCCAAGTTACAGGTCAGATTAGAGGAGAGGCTCACAGTACAGATGCATGTTTTTCAGTATATTTTTATAATACAATAAACATCTCTTATGTTTTATAAAAATACCTAGAAAATTTATTTCACCACTCATACATTATTTATCAAAGCTTCAAAAACTGTAATTGTAGGCTAATACATGAACAGGGGTGGGTTCATGTTAAGTTTTTCTTCTTCCCACTCATTTTCGAGAAATGTGCTTTTCTGTTGTTTACAATGTATATGTAGTATACATTGTTTCTCTCTTGGCACAAACTCAAAATAAAAATAAATGAATGAATCAATCAATCAATCAATACTATTGCTGGGGGCTTACAGCATTCTGTTATTTTATATTTGTTTAGGCTACTTGCTCTTCTTGCTAATAAGTTTACAAAAACTGAACTGGTTAATTTATATATGCCGTGAATCAATACAGACACATTCCTTGTAATTAATCTGTATGTTTTTACAATTGGACAGTTGGTTGAAACATTTTATGTTAGTTTTAATCACATAACTTCACCTGGGCCCTGTGCCCTTGGAAAAAGAAAATTATTGGTGTTGATCTGTATAACAAAAGAAATAATCAATCATTATAAATCACACGATTCAGACTTCAGCAAACTTTATTAACACTGTATAATATTTACAACAGTCTGTTACATCCAGGTATAGGCAAACTGTTTATGCTTATTTAGGAGACAAAATGGTGCTATACCAAAAGAACTGAACCCATAGATGAAACCTGAACACCACCATCTATGGAATACAGTTCTCATAGCATAGCACTTACCAGCACCACTTCATTGTGGACTACATATGTATTAATTTGCAACACAAAACCATAACTCTATAGGTAAACATTAAGAATTACATATAGAAAATTTATTGGAAACAGAAACTGTTTTAGAATCAGAAAGTATGACACACTTCCCCACTTAATTCTTGAGAAAAGTGATGCAAGCATGACTCAGTAACGTTAACCTTCTTTGGAAAATTGTGTAATAGCCCCAGGTCTTATTAAAATTACATTACAAACAATGCAATAGTATATGCTATTTGCTACATGACACTAATGACATTTTTTTAGTAGGCTACCTATCTCATTGAAAGGTTCTCCACGGTCACTGAAAGGAAAGTTTCCCTAGCTTTCTACCCCCCTATGAGTACACTGATTCAAATCCTTGTGACAGTCCTCTGACCAGGACTTGATATGACTCATCTATTACAACTGCACACTCCCAGGGAAAGAACTTGTGGTCATTCATGAGTGTATCTTTGAACCCTGAGACTATAGTTTTATATTAACTAACTGTTATTTATTTCAAGATCACCTTTCGTCCATATTAAAGTGATAGAGTCAAATATTGACCTTTTGGGCAAGATAATTCACTTTGCGATGACAGGAAAGAACATTCTTTTAGGATAGATGCAATGAATGGTGTAAGGAAAGCCACACCTGATCTTTTCAGGAAACTGCTATCTCTCTGGCAGTTAGACTGAGAAGCAACCGGTTTTACTGCCTGTTACAGTCAAGAAATCTCTCATTATAGACTTTAATCTCACCACTTATAGGACCTGTAACTATCTAATCATAAGATTAATAGCAAATACATTTTTACAACATAAATTTTTGAATGATTTAATTGATACAACACATTATGTAATCTATCTCACATGATCACAAAATGTAATGTATAAGCATATTAAAAAGAAATGTTAGGATACAGAAAACATGTCATTAAAAATCAGTTATACTTACCTCATCTAGTGTCTACTTTCCATTTTTGAGACTCACAAAACTTCCTTCATAATTGTCTTCATTGATTCTGTAGAGTCAAAGTCAGCTGAACCTATTTCATGGATCCATCTGTGTCAAAACCAATACTTCAGCACTGAATCAACAGCAGGCCTCCCATGCCACAGCCATCCTTGACCTGTCCACCTACATGTCCCGCTCCTATGAATGGATACAGAACAGTGACAGGCATTCACCGCCAAGGACCTTAAATACCGGCACCTTTCACATAGTCCATTAGACAGACACCCTCCCTTTTTAACTGTTTATCATGCCCTCCCCCTGTACGGTAAGCCTGACTGTCACTTCCCAGTAAAAAGGAAACAGTGGGAGTGAACTGCACGCCCCCTCACCGTGAATCAACACACATAATAGTTTCTGAGGAAAACCATCTGAGTTTAGCCCTGCCCCCTTGTTCCCATAAAGTAAGCAGAGGAAAGGCCATGTCTGCAGGAGGAACTAGGAATTCCCCCACAGGCTCTGAACAGCTGTTGTGATGATGTGACGATGACTCTGAAATTCACCGGGTGACATATTCAAATAGAAACTGGCCTCAGCATTATGTTTGCACACAATGGAGACACATGCACCACAGCCATAATGTAATTACAATATAATTAATGGGAAAATCTGTTCACAACATGCGGCTGTTCAAAGTAATGCACCTGTAGTGTTTCAGCTGCCATATCCAACACACATTATCTTTGCTTCATAATATTTATCAGTTATTCCTGCGTCAAAGATGCGGGGTGTTGACGTAAAATTGTGATTGTTAGTATAGATTAGGTGAGGTTTTAATCTGTTGTTTACCAAATCAGAACAGAAGAGCATACAGAGATGGGCATACACATAACCCATTGTATCATGGATCATTGTTTAGTCACTGTCTTTATTTCCTCACCTTTGTTGTGTTATTTTACATACAAGGAAATTGGGCCTGAAGTTCCTCAGAAAATTCCACTTGGTTTATAACAATAGATTTCCTTGAGATTTTAAAATAGGGGATTTAAAAGAAAATGTATGCTTCCTGGTCACTTGGTTACTTTGGTTTGTGACTGACAGTAAGTGGGAGGCAAGGACTCTTACTAAAATCAACACTGGCTAGTTCTAAAATAAGTGCAAGAGACCCCATAGAGTCCCAGTATTGATGTGTGGTGACACCAGAGTCCACTTTCAAACTACATCCTCAGGCTGGTGGGATAAGTTGCAATTGACATTTTGTGCTGGACTTCAGAAACAAGCCTGGCTTTCATGCTGCTGTTTGAACGCTGGGGAAATCACTAGCAAAGGTCAGTGAGCCCATTTCCTTTCTTTCCTCCTGGTGCATCTAAAGACCTGTAACAGCCCCTTTTAAACATACTACAGTTACTGTCAGACATATTGAAATGTTGCAAGCACTTAATGATATTGAGATAGCATATTTTATTGCATCTTTTAAAACACTCAAAATAAATGTATGACATGACAATGATCCTACCATACCACACTTATTATATGGCTTTTTTAAACTTAAGCGCTACGATATGACGCTGAAGTCCCTCCTCTCCATCCCAAAGACGTTCAACAGAAAACACTCCTCTTTCCTCAACAAATGTTTCAAAAAGATGGAGTCCGCCACCAACTCCAAAATAGTGAGATTTGGTAGCAAGGTAAACCAGACCTGTTGGAGCTAACAGTTTCTGTAGGGTGTCATGTAAGGATGGATAGTATGATGTATTGTAAATAGTCTCTGATGTAAAAATAATATCATATTTTGGAGGTGTCGTTTCTTTCATAAGAAAAGCAAGAAACATGCTCCAGTCACCTGAGAAGAATCTACATTTTACTAATGACGTGTGCAGAGTTGGGTCTATTGCTCGCTTCTTTTGTGGTGGGTCGCCATCTTGTGGGTCCTTTTTGTCAACATCAGCTCCTTCAGTTTTGTTCTGTCCTTTTCCTTTGCCCTTTCCTTTTTCGTCTTCTTCACTGTCTACATCATCTTCGTGGCAGTTTAGTATTACAGTTGGCACAGTGAGCTGCTCAATAACGGTACTGTTGTAATCTTGGAAGTGGACCTGCCTGGCTCCTCTCTTAAGTGCCAAAATCCCCAAAAGGCCAGCACCACAGCCCAGGTCCAAAACCACCTTTCCCCCAAATGTCTCTATGTCTTTTTCAATCAATTTTAACAAATCATAAGTGCACTCCCAAACTTTCAGTCCCCCCTCATAAACGCCAGAGATGAGATCAGACTTCTGCTTCAATGTACGGGACAGGATCTTTTCCTCATCATCTCTCTCTGAGGCTGTCTTCTCAAACACTGTCTCATTTAGGAAGTGCAGAGGAGGAAGAGTCCCAATCTGAACAGTTTCAGGCACAGCATCGATGAGGAGAAAATGTGGATCATTTGGGACTGGGTGCTCTTTTGCCTCTTTTATATGTTCGACTGGTTTGGGTTTGTCTTCAACCTGAAAAAACACAAGCAACATGTTACGTCAAAGTGCATTTAATATGAACTGAAGTTCATTGTTGTCTGCAAGTTCTTTTAGTATTAGAGTATTTAGCTGCAATTCTGGAATTATGGATTAGTTCACGTTATGATAGGCAATGGGCAGGTATACAATTACCTCAGTTAATGATAGACACAAAAACAATCTCTGTCGTTGACTGTTAATTAAAGGCAAATTCTTATTTCGGCCAAACCTTTTTTGACTCCACCTAGTGTAAGCATGTTATTTGCAGCAAGTACGCTCTCTAGTGTATGTACCCTTCATACAATGTCGTATGTATATACGACATTGCCACAATAACTAAAAAGTAATTCTCTTTCTCAAATAATAATTTGATTTCTCAGATATTGCACACTGAATAATGAATGATAATTATATGCCCATACACAGCGAGCAATAACATTACATTTAGTTATTGCAGCAAATAGTGAGGCATGAATATGGTTATCTGATGAATATATTGTATAGAATTATCATATTATAAGGAAAAACAAATTACCATAATATCAGACATACGCCTATGGCGTAATATGAATACTCTTATACTGAAGTGCTAAGGATTTATTTTCTGTTGTATGGTTAAGTAGTTTTTTTTAATTAATTCACACGCTACCAACATGCTATCGCTAATGCTACTCACATGTTTAGCAGGCTTAACGCTATGTTTTTCCTTCTTTTGCAAATCGTTGCAAACGTCCAAATCTCTAGTTTGGGACTCAACATCAAAACTGAAGCTGAACGACATTATTCCAGATCGCTTTAACAACTAGCTTGAGATATTTCTAAATGTAATTCATACTCCACATGGCAAAGTGCACAGTCGCTAGGCTGGCAGGAGGAGGCGCTTCCACTACAAATAAACTACATTTCCCATAACCAGAACAGAAAAGGAGAATAGCAAGTTTGAATTAATAATACCTTGTAACATTAAACTGATCTATGCACCGAATACATTTTCAAACAAATAAAACTAAACTTGTTTTCTATAAAACAATATATTTAGCTTCTTTCTTTCTGGACTCAAACAACCACATTGCAGTTCGCTCGTCCCACGCGCATGCGCATTCATTATTGATTGGGATACAAATCTGTAAACTGTAGGAAGGCTTCCACCTTGTTCGTCTTTATTTTACGGGTTTCTTCAAATAACGTATCGTGACTCTTAATGTGTCAATGGAGGGCTTTGAACAGGAATTATCTGCGTGCTCCTAGGATCCGTAAGTATTTGCTTCGAATATAATTTACAAGCAACTCGGATTTTGATGAAGGGACAGACTGCATCACATACACACAAAGGAGATTTGGGGACACCAGGCTGTTAGTGCAATTCATAAACCGTCCTTTTTCCAAACACTGTGATGTAGGCCTATACGTTTGTTCATTTTAATCTTGTCAGTTTTTTGGACAATATTTTTATTTACTCATGCACGTCTGAAATTCCCACTACCTCTGACAGTCAGTTACCTCCACCCAGCTCCACCCGTAGTCACCCAAACTGGAATGTGGTAAAGCGAGACTTCAATGTCTTTTGGCACAACACTGTCCAGCTTGGCACATATTCAGAAACATATAGGGACAAACAAACCTTTCAAGAAGTCTGGGTTTTGTAACACTTCAGGAGAATTGGCATTGGCATTGACATCAATCATTGGTAAGTTAAACAATTTTACATGGCTAATTTAGCTTAAAATCATTCAGTTGGAAAATTGCATATATTGATGGATTTCATGTCATAGATCAGATCATATTATAGATTGTTTACCAAAAAGTTCATTAATTGTTTTATGTACTTCATATAATTATAACAGTTTTTTATTACAGCTTGCATTTTTTTCTAGGTGTGTATAGCACAGATGCAGAATGCGGTGGTGCCCAAGCCCTGTTCTTCACCTGGTGCGGTGTATGCTTATACGATCATGCACCAGGAAAGTAAGGATCAGACTGCCTCCATGCTTACGAGAAAGATGGGCCTATATCAAACTTTTGAGTCGGTCCCTTTACTTCAACTCCCTCACTGACTCAGATGTGATTTTTGACTGTGCGTTTGAGCCAGTGTTCTGGTCTGTAGATTATGTAACACGCTGGTTTGGTCTGGTAAGTTGGATTTTTATTTCAAATGAAATACATTATTTAAAATAGTGTGATTTTAAATCAGTTTTAATAATCAATCTCCTTTCAATTCTATTGAAGGTATTTGTTTGTCTGGTTGTTATCCTAACCAGTGCTGTTGTGATCATTGCCTATATGGTTTTGCTCCCGGTGATTCTTAAAACTTACTCTACTGGTTGGATTGTTTGGCATTTATGCTATGGCCACTGGAATCTCATAATGATAGCTTTTCATTATTACAAAGCTGCCAAAACCTCACCCGGACACCCTCCTACAGTAAGTAGTGTTATTAGCTTATAAATTATCTTTATGACTCAAAACAACAGCACTGAAGTTTTCACATTTTTCAAGGTCAAAAGTGACATTCGTTTTGTGTCGATATGCAAAAAATGTATTATACCCAAACCAGCAAGAACACACCATTGCGGTATTTGTAACCGGTACATTTTCTTCTTTATTTTGTTATTTTTTAAATTTTTGACAACAATAATTAAACTATTCTTGTTGTTCCAACAGATGCATCTTAAAAATGGACCATCACTGTCGTATCCTTGAAGTGTAAATGCGTCTACATTGTCTTGGCATGCAAGGCTTCATGACAGTTATACATTTTCTACTGCCTTGACCTAGTTCATTTTAACTTAACAGATTCTAAGGTATATTTTTGTGTCCTTCAAGAGAAACATCATTTCATCAGAATCTTTGTCAGGCATTCTGACCAAAAGATTACAGCAATCTAGTTCTTTGGACTGCCACTCTGTTTCACATAACATTCAAACCTGTTTGTTCAAATTTGTTTAGTGTGTTGTTCCTTAACATATACCCCTCAGCCTGGCTGAATAACTGTGTGGGCCATTTCAATCATAGATATTTCTTTTCCTTCTGCCTCTTCATGACAATGGGTTGTATCTATTGCAGCATTAGTGGTAGAAACCTGTTTTTAGATGCCTACAACACTCTTGAGGTAAGATGGGTGTCCTCATTGCTTTTGGTGATTCTTAAAATGTCTCTGTGATCAGAAACTTGGCCTTTCCTTCCTCCTTCTGTCCCTAACAATTGGGCTCTGGACTTTTCCTTTAGCGCATTAAGCATTTGGATATGGAAAAACCAGGGGTTCCTGTAACTGGGATTGGTGCTCTAATTGGGCTTTTACCTTCTGGGCAGGTATAATCAAAAATGTACAATTTACATTTAGTAACACATTAATAAAAGAAGCAACTTCAGGTAACATAAAACTAAAGTGTGTCTTTGTATTTTTTCAGACAAAGTATCAGACCCCAGCTCCTTCATACACATTTATGGATAAGGTGTTCAATAAGTGTATCATCTTCTTGTGGGTTCTCACCAGGTATTTATATGTGAAGGAACCTTATTATCACAACATTTAAAGAAAGTATGACATGCAGTTATTATCCTGCTGGCATTATGTTAAATATAAAGTTTTTTTCAGCACTGTAGGATTATCCCTGGGTGCGCTAACTTGTTGGCATGCAGTTCTGATATCCAGAGGTGAGACCAGCATTGAAAAACATATCAATTTTAGAGAGGCGTTGCGGTACGGACAACGTGGACAAGTGAGTTACATTTCAATTATACATACACATATTGGTTGACGTCAAACGAAAAATCAACTGGATTGATACTGTGTGTTTCAGATATACAAAAATCCCTTCAATTATGGAAGGCTAAATAACTGGAAAATCTTCCTCGGTGTGGAGAGGAAAAGGTATCAAACATGCATTTGTTTTATCCTTTGTGTCAGTTCATCTTTATGTTGTATTTGTGAGTATAGTTTCACAAATACTCCAAAATAACAAATATTTTCCTTTTTTCTCTAGTCACTGGGTGACACGTGTTTTGCTACCCTCTGAACATCGCCCTTATGGTGATGGTTTATCTTGGGACATATACGCCTGCAAAAAGGATGTGATACCTGTATGACCATATTTGCACAAGTCACCATTTTCTTTTTGCCTATTTTATCTTTCTATTAAGTAGGCTAACAAAGTGCAACTTGTGCATTTTGTATTTATATGAGAAAAAGTTCAGAATACCTCATCTTTGCTGTCAGATATTTTACAAATATTGGTCTACATTTTCAAGTCAAAGATGGTGGCTTTTTTCATTCTGCCTTTTCCTGGTTTGCAAAACTGATCTTACTGGACTCTAACTATTTTCATAAAAAAGGTTTGATTAAGCCTTGCGCACTGACTGACATATTTGGCAGAATAATCATCAATCTTTTTTTTTTTTTATCTTGCACAGTAAAACATCACTTTGTTAATTTTTTATTAAGAGAAAAAAAGAAATGGTGGAGGCTGGGGTACTGCTATACACCTTCACCACTCGCCAATGAAATGTTATGTCCAAAATCATTTATTTTAAGCAACTTATTGCATTGTTATTTATCAGCTTTTAATGTGTTAATTTAATTTAATAAATCTTTATATTTGCTTTGTTCAACCCTTCTTGGTCTTTTTGTGCTTACGCTTGTGTATATTTCTGTTCAGTCAGTTAGCAGATCGTATTGCGTCACAGATTCAGAAGGATTAACTGATGCATTCACATTTGATCTGCAGGGTTTTCTCTCTATTACATCACATTTGGTGTACCAAATCTCCCTTTAGTTTGAGATGTAAAAACAAAATAAAATATTGGTATATATTTTTCCAGAACGTAACTGCACATTTTATTAAACAGCCTTGACTAAACATCTGTCAAAATGTGATGCATTATTACAACAGATGTGTGGATCCCATGCGATGTCTTGTAATTCCCAAATAATAATAGATTATGTAAACGGTATATATATAATAGGTTCTCCAGGGTCAAAGCATCTATTTGCAAAATATTTCATACATGCAGCAAACAGTACAGTGAACTTTGAAGTGATATGAATGCATAATCAAACTGCTGATTTAATGTTATTTTTTCCTTGTGCATGGCCATTGGAAAATATCAGATTATACGGTGTTCATCCAGCAATATTGTATTCAAAATCATAGATTGTAAATTTTGTAGTTTGATTGTAAATTGTTGTGGATTTGGACTGGAGTTTTATAGTGAAGTAGGTATAGCCTGTTCATAGCCAATGTGGATTGAGCATGCGCACAATCATCCTTAAGGCTTTATTTCGGGAGCAGAGCGATGTGAGGATCGTTTGAGGGGGCGACCCTCTTTTATTGTGGTTTTGGGGGAACTCAAACTCTAATAACACTTGGTTCACTTCTAAAATGAGTTGGATGAGATTTTGTAATTGAACCATCGCTGCTTGTATCTTTATATCGCAGAGTTTGTTTTGCTGACTTGCATTTTCGGACTGGCACTTCGATATCAAGCGAAACCTCATTTTAGTTCGGATGTGGCAAGCAAACTGCAGACGGATGCACAATTTAGCAGACTGGATTTCTGGTAAGGTGTTATGTGCAACTTAATATTACAAATTCTTAACCTTAGATGTCCCCCAATGTGCCCATCCGAGTTCTGAGAAAATTTGTCAGCTTGTCAAATGTATATTTTACTGTATTTTGCCAGTAGGCCTAAATATTTAGCTTAATTTAGATAAATAATGTGGGATGGGGTTTAGGCGCGTGTCAGAGTCAGCTGGCAGTACACGTGACGTAAACATGAGCTCGTATGACCTCGAGCGTGCTGCTGAGCTGTCATTCTCATCCTCCCTTGTACGTCTTATGCTATTTACCTTACAAATAGGCTGCGGACAGTAAAAAATACCCACCATCGTCATGTTTTGTGTTTAAAACAATAGGGTGCCAAATAAAAAAAAAATGTTTTCGTTGATGTTCAGGGACAGTCATGGGAGGCTGTGTGGGGAGGAGCAGGACGGATGGACATGGGAGTGTCCGCACCTCCGCTCGAAGCAAAAAACGTGGAGGTAAGTATTTCTGTACAAGTATTGGTTGTACTATTTTTGTATCTTTTGGGTAAGAGAGATCCATAAAACAATGATTTCATAAGAAAAACACACACATTTTAAAGAACAAATCAAGTTTTATAATGTATTAACAAAACTAAATCTTCTGTCAGTTAACCTAATAGTAGGCTATGTACAATTTGGGATTGCAAATGAATTATCGTGTTCTAGATACCAGGAAAGATCACTGATAACAACTACAAGCCAGTTCTGTAATGGAGCTTTGTGCTTTTTGTTGGCATCCCATACATTATGTATTGAGCTGCACAACTGAGATATAAGCACTTTGAATGCAAGTTCTGACCTACTTACTGATTTGCAATTCACATAGGGTCACACAAACATTCATTTGAAAGATATGAAAGATTGATATCTTTTATAAAACATTTAAAGCCAATTACAAATTTACACATTTGGCAAATATGGTGAAAAATCTCTCATTTATTGAGGACATTGTGCACCTGTCCCTTGAAAACATTCAAACAGGCTACAGGCTAATGGGTTTAGCATGTTGTTTCTGGGTATTTGTGTCCAGCCCCTAAATAGGGATCATTGGATTACAGGCCTGCAGCCTAGTCCTGTTCACGATGCGAGGTTACCTGCACATACCTGCACTATTTATTGAAGAGTCTATTTCCGTGAATCGATCTTGAGATATTTATGGCTGTTTAAAGGATATAAGTGGAGTCACTGTCATCTTTAACCCACTGGAGGAATTGTCACAGTGGCGTGAGCTTCAGGGAATCCAGTTCAAGTGCAGTGCAGCCAGATTCATTATTGTGGATGTTATTTGAGTCTTATTTTACCTATAACATTCATCTACAATGGGAGTGCCCAATTCCCGGGAATACAATTACTACCATGCTCCACATTCACCAATTAAGATTTTTCTTAAACGTAAGTAACGGTTGCATTTTTAACTGGATGTTTTATTTTACTTGTCTGGTAAAATAGATTTTTTAAAGACCTGACTTTGTGTATGTATTACATACAAAAAGTCTTGGTAAGTCTTGGTAAAACAAGATTTGTTATGTTGGCATTTTAAATTGACACAGTGTACAATGTGTTACTAAAACACAATGACAGGACAGTGTCACAATGACAGGACAAACATTACAGGTTTTTAAGTTCAAGCAGGTATTTGCACTTTTTAGAGCATAGACATTAAGCTACAGCACTGATAATGTCTAATGTCTAATGTCTTATGAATAAAAGAAATAAATGAAGCTTTCTTTGAAAAACTGGTGTGATGAGGGTAATGCATACAGTTACATTACTCTCTTATAGGTTTGTTGTGAAACATGGGTAATTAAATATCTTTTATCTGGAGCAAGCTTTGAGATCATAAACAAAAAAAACATCTCTTCAACGTATCAGTTGAATTGTATTTTGTTGGTTGTTCTCATATACAACAATTGCAATAAGCATTATATTGTGTATTACTGGTTTTATCATGCATTTGCACCAAGGGTAATTTTTTTGCTTATCTCATTGGCCGAAGAGTGCTCATCTCTGCAACTAGTGCCTCGTGGGACAGAGACAAATAAATCCTGTTATGTGGAACCTGATTAGTGCCTATAATCCACCGATGTGTGCTTGTGTATGTGCACACCACCACATGTATCTGAGTCTGTCCTTTGCTGTAATCCACTGAAATATATATAATCTGTGATTTCCCACCAAAGCAAACACACACTCTTAGTACATGCCAGTGGTACCGTACATTTGGACATGGAAATTCTTGCTGTATATGTACAGTAATATAAGATGATTGTCTGCCCTTGTCTGAACTCTCCAAGACTTAACAAGTATACTTAACAACTATAGACAGTGCTAATCAAGAGAATAAACATATTGAGTTAAGATAACTCTGTTCATATTGCAGGACGCAATGAGCCCCTAAAGAAGGAGCGGCCAAAATGGAAGAGTGACTACCCAATGACTGAGGGCCAGCTTAGGAGTAAAAGAGACGAGTTTTGGGACACCGCTCCAGCCTTTGATGGACGTAAAGAGATCTGGGATGCACTGAGAGCAGCAGCGTTAGCGGCTGAGTGCAATGACCTAGAGCTAGCACAGGCGATAGTCGATGGAGCCTGCATCACTCTGCCTCATGGTATGTAGTCATAAACAGTGACACCAGTTATGTAGTTGTATTTAACGCAGTAGCACTAAAGGCAAAGCATTAAAACCAAAGCAACTCCAAGGACAAGTGCATCATTCTGACAGTGCCAGTGGACAATCTGCCAAATTCCATGCTACAGGGATTACTACTGTAATAGTTACATAAGAGGAGCAATGCTGTGCGACCAATGTGAGTCAGAAAGTACCATGGCACAGCACATAGGAGTCGGGGCTGTTTGTTTAAAGTTACACTAATCATCAACTGTTTTTGATTAGTTGATCATTAGTGGAGCATTGCATTGCATTAAGGGGTTTATTGGCCCCAGGTGACTTAGACAGTGGAAAACTGAAGTGTATTTATATATTTATTTATTTATTTATTTCCATGTTCCTGACTGAAAGATTGATTATTCCTCCATTCATAGGCTCACTCACTGAGAGCTATGATGAACTGGGAAATCGCTACCAGCTCCCGGCCTACACTCTCGGTCCTCCTGTCAACCTCATCTCTGAAACATCTGCTGACAGCAAAGTCTCAGACAACACTCAAAAACAGGCTCAGCCTCCTTTGTCCAGACAGGAATTTCAATTGCGAGTGCGCCTGTCATCAGGTATGTTTTTAAATGCAAGTTTGGCATTTCTGATCTTATCCAAGCTGAACTATACTCATACAACATTTACTTTCTTACAGGGAAAGATGTGCGCTTGACAGCCAGCCTGGTTGACACTATTGCAGAATTAAAGAAGCAGCTTCAGGAGCATGAAGATATAGATGTTTCTTGTCAGAGGTGGTTCTTCTCGGGGAAACTGCTGACAGATAAGACTCGACTGCAAGATGCCAAGATCCAAAAGGACTTTGTTGTCCAAGTGATCGTTAATACAAACCTACCACCTCCTGTAATCCCTAAGTGACAATCCCAGTGAAGGAAAGACAAAGGAAAAACAGGGATAAAAGAATGGAAAGCTTGAATTTATTTTCAGTTGGAACTGAAGTGGACTTTTGTGTATTTTTTATAAATAACAATAATGCTTTTTTTATTGCTCCTTTTTGTATTTTACCTTCTTCCAATAACAATTTGATGAATAAGCACTGGATCACTTTAGATTATATTAGAAAACTAGGATGCACATACCATTGTCTGCCTGTTCATCCCTTTTTGTGGATATGAATCAAATCATTCCTCTACTGTTTACATGCCCCCTCTGTAATGTAAGTTTTGTGTGCTCTGCCTGGGCTCAAACCCATCTCCATTCCTTTTATAGTGACATTCTTGTCATAATTCATGTAATTGTGGTGGCTGACAAATCAATACGATATTAATATTCATTCCATATAGGATATATGTACTCGTGCACTACACATTTCACAAGACTGTGGGCTTTAGTCTTGAAAAGGGTGTTTTAAAACTTTAGTTTTTAAAAGCCTGTATGTGACTGTATTTAAAAACTCACCAATAAATTGAATTTGTGTTGCATTATGTTGGAATACCTTTGTTTTTAAAAGGGAACAAAAATTGCCTAGAAAGTAATTCTGTCATAAGTGCATTCTTCAGCCAGTAGGTCATGATCATCACAGAATACACTAATAAAAGTAAAATGTAAACAGCGCCCTCAAGTGGAAAAGCAACTGAATCAGGCGTTAGCCACGTGAGTAGATGTTCACGTCATTCTCTGAGCGACAGAGTCATCTGGAGTTGGTAGAAGACCGTGGAGCAAATGTGAATATTTTAACACCGAAATGGTGAAATCGGGGAAACTTCGGTCCGGGACGGGATCGAAACTCAAACGATGGAAGAAAGGGCACAGCAGTGACTCCAACCCGGAGTCAAGCAGGTTCAGACAAGCCGCAAAAAGTCGCTTTTTCAGCCGACCCACTGGTAAGCTTCTGCACGTGGGTCAGGGCTATGCAATTAGCTCATCCCTCACCTACTTACGATCAAAACACTGCTTTAAAATACGACATGTCATGTTTTTATGATTTTTATGGTACTTGAGCAGCAGAACCAACGTCTGACAATCGACCTTTCTAAAACGCTTATTTCTATATAATTGCAAACTAACAAAGCAGTAAACATTGTTGCCCAGTTTACATTAGGACTCAGTTTACCACAACATTTGAAAAGTGTCTCTTGCCACCATAGTACAGGCTACTTGGCGCCTATAGTAAATATGGTTTCCCCTTTAAATATTAAATGTTCTGTACAGCTTTAATATAATATTATGATTACCTGCTTAATAAAAATCGTGACACCTTCTTTGCTATAGTTGCATCAAATCATGCCAGTCCTCAAAATAGGACACACTTCACTCCCTCCCACCACTCCCACCACTCAATCAACGCAAAACCTTGACCACTTAAACATCATGGGACATACAGTAACGCATTCCTGTATAAATTGGCCTTTATCCTCACTCAATATATGTCACAGTTTTGTCTGCTATTTTAAAAGTGCTATACAAATGGAAGAGATTATTATAACTTTTTAAACTTCAAATTGCATTTCACCTCTTGTAGGGAAGAGTGATCTGACTGTTGATGCTCTGAAGCTGCATAATGAGCTGCAGACGGGTCCACTGGAGGTCAGAGACCGCAAAGATGCCTGCAGTATGGAGGAGGAGCCAGAGGAGGCGCTGTCAGATCGGACCTCTGGTACCTTTCTCAGTGGTTTGTCTGACTGTTCCAACCTCACCTTCAGGAAAGTTCAGCGCTATTGGGAATCCAACTCCGCCGCCCACAAAGAGGTGCACCAGGATTGACATAATATTTCTTTATAATTTCATCTTTTTTTCTTCCCTTCAACTTGCATATTACCTGTTCCAGATTTGTGCAGTATTGGCTGCTGTTACAGAGGTGATTCGTTCTCAGGGCGGTAAAGAGACAGAAACTGAGTATTTTGCTGCTTTGGTGAGTACTCTTTTTTTGCATATACACTGAGCAGTGTCATAAAGTGTTACCAGTTTATGTTGTTTTTAGATGACTACTTTAGAAGTTGTTGAAACAGGGGAGTCACAAGCAGCAGTTGCGTATCTCCTTAACCTTGTCATGAAAAGGTATGTTGATTAAAAACATTTTGCTTTGTAATAATTGACAATTGTATTATGACACCTGTATTGCTTTTTGTTTATTTCAGAGTTCCCACTCCTGTTCTTATTTCCAAGTTCTCAGACACCAGCAAAGCTCTGATGGATGTAATGTCTAAACAAGCCACCAGTGACTCTGCATCAGCACTTCGATGGGTAGGAATAATATCAGTACTGATAACTAACACAAAACTACTGATAATCCCTTTTTTTATATTGTGTCTTTGTCCATTCCTAGATACTGTCATGTCTGGCCACCCTGTTAAGGAAGCAGGAGGCTTCAGTATGGACATACCCATCCACTCTCCAGATTTACCATGGCCTACTTAGTTTTACTGTACACAGCAAGCCAAAGGTAAAGGTGGTTTTGTTTTTGATTAGCCTCCCAGACTGCTCATTTGTTTTTATTTTGGATTCTTCTATTTCAGGTGCGTAAGGCGGCACAGCAGGGTGTGTGCTCAATCCTCAGAGGTAGCGATTTCCTGTTTAAAGATGATGCACCTACTCATCATCCTGTTGCCATAACTACAGCTAAATTTTGCATTAAGGAAATGGAGCAGGCTGGAGGTAACTACTTTGATTACAGTTATTATTGCTAAGTGTAATATTCTGTGGGTTTAGGTACAGTAGTAATTTTATTTTTATCCTAACGCAGGAAGCAAAGAAGACACCACCACCCTTCATGTACTAGGCCTTTTGAAAGAGTTAATTGTGACATTTCCTCTTGGCGCAGTCAAATCTTGTTGTGAGACTCTGCTGCGAGTGATGACACTGAGTCATGTGGTGAGGGAATACACAAAAGTGCAGAATATGTTGGTCATCCACACGTTGTGTTTAATTAACCCAATATATGTGTCTCTAACAGTTGGTAACTGCAAGTGCCATGCAAGCCTTTCATAAACTTTTTAGTAGCAAACCAAAAGCTTCTACCCTGTCCCCCGAACTGAATGCACAGATTATCACAGTATGTATTCTCAAATCGTCCTAATTTCAACATCAGTTTTGGATATAAAATGTATTATTTTCCCAGGCTCTTTATGATTACTTGCCCAGTGAGAATGATTTGCAGCCACTCCTGGCCTGGTTAGCAGTTATGGAGAAAGCACATGTTCATCTAGCAAGGTATTAATAACACTTTGCTATTACACCATATTTTGCGATTCTTTGTGAACAGCGTACACGGCTTATGTTTCTTTGTGTAGTTTGCAGAGTTCGTTAAGTTTAGGACATCTCCCTCGACTCTTTTCTGCTGCCATTTCCTGCTTGTTGTCCCCACATGCACAAGTGATTTCTGCAGCCACTAATACACTCAAGGTAAACATCTTCTTTCACACCTTCACACACCTTCAAAATTGGTTGCATATTTAACATATATATATTTTTTATCTCTGACTAATTATTATTTTTATATGTTATTTTTCAGACCCTGCTGACTGAGTGTGTTGCTCCTCACATGGGAGAGATGAGTTTGATCACAACTACAGCTTCAGCAGGAAACTCCTCGTACATCTGCAAAATGTTCAAGTATGTTTATTTGATTCTTCCTACTCCATTTACAGACTTGACAGTTTTTATTTATCATAATACTTAAAAATCATGTTTTCACTTGCATATTTTATTGTTCAGAATAGCAGAAGAAGGTCTTTCTTACCGCTTCCATGCCTCCTGGCCCTTCGTTCTTCAGGTACTGGGCTGTTTCTACAAAGTTGCCGGAAAGAAGGCCCACCCCATTATGACCAAGGTAAAGTAAGCCAGGTAATACAATGCATATATTGTTTACTATTCAATTTTCTGACCTTGTATAAATGTGTTGTGCAGTCACTTCAGTCGTTGGCAGATTTACGCTCCACTCCTCACTTTTCTTTCACTGGAGAGTTGGATTTGGCTGTGGGAGCTGCTGTCGAAGCAATGGGCCCTCAGGTCGTGTTGGGAGCTGTGCCACTGAACATTACTGGCTATGAGTAAGCCCATATATATACAGTATAATATTTTTGTACATGTAGGCTTTAGTTTTTTTTTTTTTGCCAGTGATGATTTGGAGTTTCCACGTAGCTGGTTGATTCCTGTTATACGTGATCATGTGAAGAACACTCAACTAGGATTCTTTAATTCTTATTTCCTTCCTCTGGCATCAACACTCAAAAAGAGAGGTAATTTTCTGACTTTGATTATAACTGTATAATTAATTGATGCAAATAACATCCAGCAATATGATAATGTAAGCGAGTTAAAAAAAAAAACAACTGGATTTGGGACAGAGGGGTATGAAGGATGCTCAGGGACATCTTTGTGACGACACTAAAACGTCACTACTCACCTCTGCATCTGGTGGGAGAAGCAGTCACCCACACAGACCCTGAAGAAGCTATCAGGTTGATGTCGAAATATTGCCAAAATATTGAGTCTAACTGTTTCTTTTTTGTTTGTTTGTTTGTTTTACTCGCTTACATTAACCATATAATCATGTCTTTGTGAGAGCAAATGTTAAATATTGATTTGTTTCTGTCACATTGTAGCTGAGGAGCTGGAACAAGCTGGACAAAAACTTGAGGCTAAAGTCTACCAAACACTGCAGCTTCAGGTAGCGTGGTGTAACTGTTGATGTTTCAAGTTTAAAAGAAGTTGTTTACAATTTTGGTGTGTGAAAATCTGTCACAGATTTGGACCATGCTTCCTGGTTTCTGCACTGGTTGTGTAGACCTTGTGGCATCGTTTAAAGGCATTGCTCGCACTCTTGGCACAGCTATTAATGAGCAACCAGACCTGAGACTGATTGTGTGTCAGGCTCTACGTACAGTTATCAACAAGAGCTGCACAACAGGTAAAGATGCACTGCAACACATCTGTGAAGTAATATCCCATCATTATACTAACACTAACTAATTGGTGGTGGTATCTTTTGCAGATGAGGAAAAAGCAGAAGTGGGGAAGTTCTCCAAAAACTATCTTCCTATTCTTTTCAATGTGTACAGCCAGCAGCCGCCTGCAGGGGAGTCTGGCACCTATAGAATGGCTGTGCTCGATACAATCAAAGTGTATTTAACTGTAACAGAAAAACAGGTGAGTTGAAAGGGTTGCAGATGGTCAGTGCTGTGGATATAGATCACTGTTTTAGCTTTCACTAACCTTTCATTTTTTCAGATGCAAAGCTAATCAAGATAATTTTTAGTTAATTTGTTTCTGTAATGTAATTTAGGGTTTACAGTTTAAAACTAAAATATTCCGTACTTTGACTACTCACCACCCTTTTTTCCATATTTTTTTCAAATCAACATTCAGTTCAAGGCTAATTTTCCTTTTTTTCCGCCAGATGATCTGTACATTCTTGGCCAAAGCCACAGAGAGATTAAGTGGCACAGACAACACAGAGTTCACTCGGTAAGTACCTTTACAAAACGTATTTTGTGTTTGTTCTTGTAATTTTGCATGTCTATATGCTTTGATATTCACTTCAATTTTCTCCACAGGCTTGCGATGATGGACCTAATTGTTGCCATGGCACCCTTAGTAGATCAGACCACAATGACAAAAACATTTGAATTTATAAAGCCATTTTTAGAGGTAAATGTTGAGGCTCAACTTGTTACTTCTTACTTGTTACTACTTGTTGTTTTAAAATTTTCATCTGATATGTGCATTCACAGATCAAGGAGCCAGGGATGCAGAAGAAGTCCTACCGTGTACTGGAGGAGTTGTGTGGAGGAGAGAGTGAAGAGTGTAAATCATTTGTAATAAAAAATCTGGAAATGCTGAAAGTCAGCCTGCTTGAGACTTTGAAAAATGCATCTTCACCAGCGAAACGGGTCAGGCCACTTGACATATGAAAATAAAATAATCCTTGCTATGATTTTGATTATGGTTTATGTATTTTTGTTATTTTTTTCAGCCAAGACTGAAGTGCCTACTTCACATTGTAAAAAGGCTTGGAGAAGAGCACAAGGATTTTATCACTGCTCTGTTGCCGGAGGTACATTTTTATATCAAAATAAAAGGCAGAGGCACAGAGAGATTGTTATCATCACAAAATATATTTCTTTCAGGTTATCATCTGTACAAAAGAGGTGTCTGTTGGAGCTCGTAAAAA